CTTTCCTCTGACCCTAAAAAAACTAGATTTTCAAGTGCGCCCCCCCTTGCTATTCTAGCCTATGGTTTTAAGGGTACGTACATATCCAACACTTTTTACAAGGTTCAATCTGGTCTCTTGAGCTTTGAATCAGTGAAGCACTAAAACCGGTTCCCAGTGTGTCGCGTCGTGCTTCGCCACATTCACATTCTGCAAGACGTATTCTTGGGACACGCCCTAAAATGTGGGCATGTACATGTTGTTAGAATAGCGAGGTAGGGTTTAGCTAGGTAGCGAGAGAAGTTGGCGAGAGAAAAGATAGACAACTAGACAAGAGAGAGAGATACAAGAAGGGTGTTGTACCCTCTACAGTAGGAACCAACACTCTTTAGTATACCTACCTAGCCTATACATATATATCTATCAAATATATTTGTTGACACACCCCCTAGGCTTGGTAGGCGAAACGCAGAGAAGAGACCAGGGCAGTACTACTAGTCTGTCCACTGGTTTTAGTAGTAATTTAGGTCAAAAACTCACCACACACACAGCACGCCCAACACCCCTTAAGCCTAGCACCCCCATACCCAGTAGCGGCGGCGGCTTCTTCAACGCGGTCGACCCCTCGGCATGCGAGGCGGCGATGCTGACAGCTAGGGCAGCGGCGGCGGTAGTCGCTAATACCTATCGTTTGACTTTAGTCTTCAGCCCGGCGAGATACGACTGTACTTTTTCCCTTTCGGTTAGGTCAGGAATGTGGTTATAAATTTCTTCCATCTGCTGCGTGTACTATGCTACACTCACGAAGTGTCGATAGCGATGATTTTTTTCCCGGGCAAGAAAACCCGAATTTATCAGCTCGAAACGTTTCAGCAGGTCGGTACGGAACTGCTGCCACGTGGCTTCGCCGTGGATGAAGGTACTGTTGTCGTCGATCCACTCGACTTCCGGCCCTCGCATCAGTGTCGTCGCGAGTCGTACGCGTTGACCGTCCCAGACTTGCGAGCTCCATCCGATGGCTGCGAAGTAGATCTCCATGCCGGCGATCCATCTGCGAACATCCGAATTTCGATCGCTTGGATCGAATGGCTCATGTGGGCGCGGTTTCGGAGCCTCGAGAAACTGCTGCGTCTGCTGCGTCGTCGTCGTTGTCGTTTCGTGCTGCGCGACGGCGAGTCGAGTTACTCGCTCAAATTCGTTTCGCCTAGCTTCGCGATTGGCTCGCAACTCCTCCTGTAGGGCGGCAATGCTCGCGAAGAGCTGTTGGGTAACCTTGGCGTTGTCGAAGTTAGCCATCCTGTTTAAAACACGCGCTGAGGGGGTGATAAAAAAACGCGGAGCTGGTGCTTACCAAAATCAGCGCCAAATTAGTCGCCCCCGGCGGTTTTTCGAGGCAGGTTTTCCCGCTGCTGCTGCTTAGCAGAGCGCGACTGAGTGAGAGAAACTCTTATTACCAAGTGTTACATGATCGAATGTGTCGAGGAAAAGTTGCCTTATCGATTGATACAATGCGCTTTTATACTTCCGAGGTACATCAGATAACCAGGTTTATCCTATCCAAAGGGAATTGACCCTTCTAGAAATAGAATCACCCTGCGTACAGCCATGCGAGGCTATTGGATTTAAGGAATTACAGCAGGATTACGCTTCATATAGCGCGCCACTACATCCCGAGCCTGGTCGGTAATATAATAATAATAATATAGACCAAAGGATAATGGAAAATGAGGAATAGGAATCCAAATGAGATGAGATAAAGACTAAATGAATCAATCGAAGAAAGGAGAATGAGATAGAGGAGAAAGATGGAAATGAGAAATAAGTGTACCGGGGTCATACTCTCATAAGAAGGATATTATACCCTCTACAGTAGGAACAAGCACACTGTAATACACCTACCTAGCCTATACATATATGAAATATATATGTTGACACATGTTATCTTGTGACACGCCCTTATGATAGAGCATTCGCCCTTCATATTTTACTTAAAATATCACCTCAAGGGGTGGTGCCTAAAGGCTTGAAATACGTGAATCCATTGAGACCAAGAGAACCATTATGCACTACGTACGCATCGTTATTTATGCATACGCTCTTCTGTGGTAGCATTCTCTCATCTGTGCGTCCTTCTGTTGTAACCTCGGTATGATACTATCAAAGGTAATGAATGAGTAGAACCATGGCATACAAGGGAATATAACCTAGTGGGTTGTACTCTCTAAGGCACAACCCTATGTAGTCTATAACAACATATATGGATATGTTTGACACAACCCCTAGACTAGAAAGGGGCAGTGCCTGGTGAGAGTCAAGCAACTCAGGGTGGCACTACTAGTCTAGCCTATGAGGCAAGGGTCTAAAGACCAGCCAAACGAGTACAAACAAGGCAAGAGCAAGACTAGGGCGGCACTACTAGTCCAGCCACTGGGAAGAGGTCACAAGGCCAGTCAGGGTAATATGTATAAATGTCTGTACATAATAAAGGTCCTAGCAAATGAGAGGCTACAGGAACGAGACCTAGCTGTACACGGTGCCGCTGATGATCTTTAGGCACAAGCGCCTTCGTAAAGATATCAGCTGTGTTGGCACCGAAGGCCAAGTGTACTACGCGGGCCTGGCGACGCTGCTTTAGCTCATGCGGGAGGAAGTACCGCAGCTCGCTCTGCCCTCGAGTCTAGGCACCTGACACAGGAGGATCATGGCCCTGTTGTCAGCGTACAGAACCGGGGCAGAGCTAGGCCGCTCACCTAGGTCAGTGAGCAAGAAGGTCAGCCAGCGAAACTCCTGTGCCGCCATGGAACCGGCGTAGATCTCAGCCTCACAGCTAGACTGGGCAACAGACGAGGAGCGAGTGGACCTCCACGAGATGGCACCTGAACCAAGGCTAAAGGAGTAGCCTTGGAAGGACCTGAGAGTCTTGGCATCGTCTTCCCAAGAAGCGTCTGTGTGCCCGGTAAGGACCACTCGTCTGCATCCTCCTAGCACTAGCCCCATGCCCGATGTGCTTGCTAGATAACGCAAAACCCTTTTAGCTGCCGACTAGTGCTGAGGTCGGTGTTTGCCGGTGGCCACAAAGTGATCCAGGATGCTGAGAGAGTATGCGAGTTTTGGACGAGTGCAAGTCATCAGGTACATGAGGCAACCCACCAGCTCTCTGTAGGGACCACAAGGCTCTACAGCCTACTCCGAGACTGGAGCAGAGAGTCTATGGTCTACTGGCAGAGGGATGGGCTGTGCGGAAGAGAACTGAAGGCTGAACCTCTGAAGGACCTGGCGCACCAAGTGTGACTGTGAGAGAGTGATGGTGCGCGCTGCTCTGTCCCTAGAGATCTGCAAGCCAAGGTAGCGGCGCAGCTCTCCTAGGTCAGTGCAGGTGTGTCTTCTCAGCAGCTCGGCCTTCACGGAGGCCAGTGCGTCTCTGTCTGCAGTAGCAAAGACCAGGTCATCTACGTAGACAAGGATGTAGAACGGAATTTGACCGGAACGGACGAAGAGCGAGGGGCTGCAGATGACGGGAAGAACTGCAAGTCAACAAGTATAGCACGCAGCGTGTCATGCCACTCACAGGGCGCCTGTCGCAAGCCGTGGACGGGGCGCCGGAGGAGCCACTCGGTACCAGGGGGAAAGGTACCAGAGAAGCCCTGGGGGCGACGCAGGTAGACTTGTTCGTGTAGACTGCCCTGGAGGAAAGCTGTGAAGAAGTCGAGGGAGTGCAGCTCGTAGTCATGCTGTGCTACTAGACATAGTAGTGCCCCAAGAGTAGTCATCTTCGGGGTCGGGGCAAAGGTCTGAAGGAAGTCCACCCCCTCACGCTGACTGAAGCCTCGAGCAACATAGCGCTCCTTGAATACGGGCGGCTCTCCAGGAGGGCGCTTCACCTTGAAGAGCCATCGGCCATCGACTACATTCATCCCAGGTGGGGGAACTGCATTGATAAAGGTACCGGTGGATCTCCAAGATGTCATCTCCTGCTCCATGGCAGCTATCCACTGAGAGGTCCAGGGTCCCGAGGTGGCCTCAGCGTAGGTGCTAGGGGTCGGGATGTCAAGACTCGTCAAAGGTGACGTCGCGGGAGTGAAAGAAGCGGTGAGACAGCGTGTGGTAAAAGTGCCAGTCAGACGAATCGAAGGGGAAACCTAGGAAGACACAGGGGGCGGTGCGGGCAGTGAACTTGTCCGTGCCTGAGGCACGAACGTGAGCAAGGCAGCCCCAAACGTGGAACGCAGACGCGTCACCAGGGGACTCAGTCCAGAGGAGGGTCGGCGAAACCTGCGGCTACTGAGGGTGCGGCCACATGTTAAGCTGGTGAGCGGAGTAGCGAACAGCGAACGGCCACAGAAAATGGTGTGCACCAGCATGGATAATGGAGGTACGAGCCACCTCCATGACCAAACCGATGCATTGCTCAGCGACCCCATTCTGCTGCAGGGAGTCCGGTAGGGTGAACACCTGGGTGATGCCCTCTGTACGACAGAAGCGACCAAGGCAGCAAGAGGCAAACTCGCCACCGCGGTCGGAGTAAAGACGCAACACCGGGAGACCTCAGTGAACATGCGCAGAGACAAGCCATGGGATAAGTACGTCAGGCACGTCGGCCTTCCGCTCCAGGGAAAACACCGTGGTGTAGCGCGTGTAGTCGTCGACAAGCACGAGGAAGTAGCGCTCTCGACGTGGCCCATGGACGGGGGCGGGGCCCCAGACGTCCATGTGCAGGGTCTGCATCGGTGCGGCAGTGGGGGGAACGAGGAGGAATGAGGGGCATGGCGGAGCCGGCCCTTGATGCAGGGCGTGCACGGCGGCGCTTGTGAGGAGGGTAGCATGGGCAACGACTTAGGGAGACCTAAGACAAGACCGTGCTGAGACATGTACGAAGACATGTGTTACATGATCGAATGTGTCGAGGAAAAGTGGTATAATCTATTGATAGTTGGCGTGTTTATACTTCCAAAGTACATCAGGTAACCAGGTTTACCCTATCCCAAGGGAATAGACCCTTCTAGAAATTGAATCACCCTGTGTATAGCCACGCGAGGCTATTGGCTTTAAGGGATTACAGCAGGATTATGCTAGATATAGCGCGGCAGTACATCCCGAGCCTGGTCGATGATATAATCATAATAACAGGATAAACCAAAGGATACTGGAATGGAAGAAATAGGAAACCAAATGAGATGAGAGAAAAGAGGAATGAAATAGAAAGGAGATATAGAAAGGGAAATTGGTGTAACAGGATCGTACTCTCACACTTCCCCCCCTCTAAGCTGGGTGGTAGAAGTAACACCCTGCTTGACAAGGTATTCGCGATGAGGATGATGACCGTTACCCATCTCGGAGTTAGGAACCCAATTGCCCTCAGAAGGATCATAACCCTTCCAACGAATGAGAACCTCCACGGTGCCATTCCGACGACGGCGGTGTGCGAGCACAGACTCGACCTCGTACTCGGGTTCATCGTGGACGAGGACGGGCGGCGGCGGTGGGGGTTGGCGTCCGGTGAAGACCGTGTTAGGGTCTCGGTAGGGCTTCAGAAGTTGGACATGGAAGGCGTTGTGAATCTTCCAAGTAGTTGGTAGCGTAAGCGGAATGTAACAGGAGTGACCTGTGCTTCAACGAGAAAGGGCCCGCAGAAGCGTGGTCGCAGTTTGGATGGGAGGTGACTGATGTTGAGATTGCGGGTGTCAAGTAGAACTTGGTCTCCCACAGTGATGGTGTGGTCAGTACAATGTCGATCGGCCTGGCGCTTCTGTTGCTGGTGAATGTCAAGGAGGCGCTTGTGGGTCCGATCCCAAAGTTGATGCATGGTCGTGATGAAGTCGTGTGCGGGTTGGACTGCAGCTGGTGCAGTCGGTTTTTATGGTGTGAGCGGATGGCGTCCGTAGCAGAGGAAGAACGGCGTCTGTCCAGAAGCGGCGTGAGTGGCGTTGTTGTAGGCAAAATCCAAGATGGACAGATGCAAGTCCCATTTAGAGACTTCTTCTTTGCATGCTGCGCGGAGGAGCTGCTCTACAATTTGGTTGAGGCGCTCGGTCTATCCATCTGTCTGCGGAAGGTTGGCGGATGACATGTCGAGTTTGGTCCCGTGCAGTGACATTAGTTCCTTCCAGAACTTGCTGGTGAACTTGGGGTCTCGGTCGGAGATGAGTGTGGTTGGAATGCCATGTTGTGAGATGGTGCAGTGAACGAATAGTTGTGCTGTTTCTTCGGTGCGTGCTGTCGTGTGTGTCGGGATGAAGTGTCATATTTTGGAGAATTTGTCGATGACGACAAGGATCGCGTCATGACAGCTAGTGGTAGTTGGTAACCCATTGATGAAATCCAGGCTAACCCCTTGGCATGGTTGTTCTGGGATAGGAAGAGGCTGTAGCAGTCCTGCTCTTTTCTACTTGCTGCTCTTCATCCGCTGACATGTTGCACACGAGGTGACGAATTGTTGGACGTCGGCTGCCATGTAGTAGTGCTTTGCAATACCGTTGAGCGTTTTGTTGCTACCGAAGTGTCCCGCGTATAGGACATCATGGTATTTTTCGAGTAGTAACAGGCGCAAAGGAGGGTAATTGGGTACCTAGATCTTTTTTTATCCCTTCCGGTATGTGATCTCACTGTCCCACTGTAGCAGGTGTCGTTTTTATGCGAAAGGAATCTCGGGGTCGATGGCGTACCCGTGCGTGAAGAATCCCTTGAGGATTGGGTTCATCCCTTCGACTTGGATTGCGGCAACGTGTGCAGGCCAACTGAGAGCATCTGCTTTATTTTTGTGGCCAGGCTTGTTACACGATGTCGTAGTGGAAGTGCGTCTTGAGGAAGTCAATCCACCGGACCTGCCGTCTGGAGAGAGGTTTGGTTGTGTCTTCAAATATTTCACGCTGCAGTGGTCGGTGTAGACGGTTGTTTGTCGTCCTTCGAGATAACATCTCCGCGTTTTGAAGGCGATGATAATAGCAAGGGCCTCTTAGTCATGTATCGAGTAGTTTAGTTCTGCCCCGTGTAGTTTCTTGCTTAGGTAGATGATTGGTTGCAGTCCATTCCCCTGGTCTTACATCAAGACTGCTCCCACTGCCTGGTCGCTAGCGTCAGCTTTGATGACGTAGTCGCGTTCGGGGTCTGGCAAGATGAGTACAGGTGCAGACGTACGTGCTTGTTTCAGCTGCTCTACGGCTTCCTGATGTTTTTGTTCCCACTTATAGGGCGTGTTCTTCTTTAGCAGATTCGTGAGCAGCGTTGCAATTTTCGCGTACTGTGGCACGAACCTGTTGTAATATTTCGCGAAGCCTAGGAACTGCTGTGAATCCTTCACGTTTTTGGGTGTCTTCCACGTGCGTATGGATTCGATCTTCTTGGGGTCGACGTAAACTCCTTGAGCGCTCACCATGTATCCTAGGAATTGGACTTTCTCGACGGCGAATTCGCTCTTGGATAACTTGAGATGTCGTCCAGGTACACCACCACACATTCGTCCAAGAGTGGGCGTAGAATATGGTTTATTTTAGCTTGGAATGTTGCCGGTGCGTTGGTGAGTCCGAACAGCATTACCAGATACTCGTACGACCCGTATCGAGTTCGGAAGGCAGTTTTGTGGATGGAATTGTCCGCCATTCGTATATGCCAGTATCCGGACCGCAAATCCAGTTTGGAAAATACTGTGGCTCCCCTACGCTGGTCAAGCAGGTCATCGATTCGTGGGATTGGGTATTTGTTCTTGATGGTCTGCTTGTTGAGAACTCGGTAATCGATGCACATGCGCAGGCTTCCATCCGGCTTCAGTGTGAAGAGTACTGGGGCACCGTATGGCGAAGTGGATGGTCGGATGAGTCCTTTTGCGGGGAGATACTCGATTTGCTTCTTCATGTCGGCTAGCTTTGTGGGGCTGAGCCGATATGGTGCTCGGAAGGTCGGCTTCGAACCTGGTTCTTCCACGATCTCGTGTTGGTGCGTTCGGTATGGCGGCAGCTCGTTCGGAAGGTCGTCAAGAAGAATGTCTTAGAACTCCTTCAGTAATTCTTTGATTTTTTGTGGAGGTTCCGAGGTTCTCTCCCCGTCGTTTTCCACCTCTGTTGCTATCGCCAAGAACCCGATGTCGGTTCGCTTTACGTCCTTCTCGAATCATGCGAGTGTCTCCACTGGGATATCTCCTGTATCGTCCCAGTTGGGTAGATGGACTCTCCTCCCGTTGTTGTAGATGCTTGTGGTACGATTTACCCAGTTGATCTCGGGGTTGAATTGTTTTAGGAAGTCTCGCCCGAAGATCAAGTCAAGCCCTTTTAGGTGATGGGGAGTGCAGGTCTCCAACGCAGTGGTCCAATTTGTAGGTGTAACACTGCTTCGCCGTGTACTGGTAACTTGCTACCATCCACCATCGTTGCAGAGAATACTGAAGGCTTGTACTCTTCCCGAAGTTGGTCGATTACTGCCTTGTCGCAGACGGTGTGCGATGCTCCGCTGTCCACGAGTGCTTGGCGGCGTCGTCCTTTGCAGATGACCTCGAGCACGAGGGGCGGGAGTTTCTCGGAGTACCCAAAGATAGTTTCGCTAATAGGATCATAGGGTCTATCCCAATATTCCGTACACACCTTTTTCTTGCTATCTGCTTGTGGGTTAGCAGCTGGCCGAGGCTGCTTGGAGAAAGTCTCTCCCTCAGGACCCTGAGCTTTCTTGACGACTGTGTGTGTCGTTGATGCCGAATTTGCTGAGCTTGATGCATTTGGAGGAGGAGTTCGGGGTTTTTTGCAGCTTCTTGTAGACCCCCAGCTTCCTCTTTAGCTGTTTCAGCTCCACCAACGTCTTCCCTGGGGAACGGGTAGTCGTTGTGGGCTGGATTTGGAGAGGACGTTGACTCCGTGGAAAGTTCGGCTTCTTTCCACACTCCTTAATTTTTTCCCCAAGTTTTCCCGTACCGGTATGATCTCCACAAGTTTCTGCTTCTTCTGGAGTCCCTCCCGAAATTTCTCCAAGGCTCTAGCCTCTCGAGAATCATAAGTTTTCATTAAAGCATCTTTATAAGATAACTTTAACGAATCCTGATAATTTCTTGGGTCTTCTCGGAGTTTCCCCGTCTTGGCAGAGTCCTTTTTCGCGGAGTCATATTTTTTCTCGACGATTTCCTCTGGCAAAGACTGGTCATGGGTTGGAGATTTTTCCCCACCATTTCCTCCTGCTCGCGTCGAATTAGCTTTGTTGAAGTCAATTTTCCCGGAATCCCGCGGCCGCTTTCGGATCTTTTCTTTTTCGCCAGCTAGATCCGCAATCACTGGCGAATTCCATTTTTTGCCTTCTGATTGGCCATAGAATTTCTGCCACTGTTGCGTGCCCGATACTCTGTGTGTGTGGCTTTCATTTTATTGCAGTCGAAGATTCGATGGCCCTGCACCCCGCAGAAATCACACGTGTAGTTGGTGTTTTTCGGACATGGCCGCCCGTCGAACCTGTCGATTTCCATCGGGTCGGCAAACGTGGGGTGAGCCGAGCGGTCGCCCTGTCGCGTACTGCCGACGTGCGCCTTTGTGTCCCGGCGTTGACCATGTCGAACCGCTTTGCTGCGAAAGACGTCACTGTAGCTCGCGTAGTTTGTCGTTGCTATCTGTCGTTTGACTTCGGTCTTCAGCCCGGCGAGATACGACTGTACTTTTTCCCCTTCGGTCAGGTCAGGAATGCGGTTATAAAAATTCCTCCATCTGTTGCGTGTACTCCGCTACACTCCCGGACTGTCGATCGCGATGATTTTTTTCCCGGGCAAGGAAACCTGAATTTATCGGCTCGAAGCGTTTCAGCAGGTCGGTGCGGAACTGCTGCCACGTGGCTTCGCCGTGGATGAAGGTATAGTTACCGCCGATCCACTCGGTGCCGGTCCTCGCATCAGTGTCGCCGCGAGTCGTACGCGTCGACTGTTCCAGACTGGCGAGCTCCATCCGACGGCTGCAAAGTAGATCTCCATGCTGGCGATCCACCTTCGGGCGTCGGAATTTCGATCGCTCCGTATCGAACGGCTCAGGTGGGCGCGGTTTCGGAGCCTCGAGAAACGGCTGCGACTACTGCGTCATCGCCGTTGTCGTTTTGTGTTGCGCGCTGGCGAGTCGAGTTACTTGCTCCGAACTCGTTTCGCCAAGCTTCGCGATCGGCTCGCATCTCCTCCTAAAAAGGGGCGGCGATGCTCGCGAAGAGCTGCTGGGTAACCTCGACGTTATCGAAGTCACCATCCTGTTCAATACACGCACGGAGGGGTGAATTCGGAAAATGCGGAGCTGGTGCTTACCAGAATCGGTGCCGAATTAGTCGCCCCCGGCGTTTTTTCGAAGCAGGTTTTTCCCGATGCTCTTGCTTAGCTGAGCGCAGTTGATGGGAAAAGCTCTGATTACCAAGTGTCACAGGATCGAATGTGTCGAGGAAAAGTTGTACTATCGATTGACACAGGCGCTTTTATACAGTGACGGAAAAATCTGTCCGGATGTTTGGCATTAATTAGGTTTTTTAGGCTTTTCGACCACGGTACATAAAGTCTTAATGTTTAATGGTGGTATGCTTTTGGAGGGGCACATAGTGGATGTGTTCACAGCACTTACGTCCATAGTAGTACACTGCATCTAACTTAGTGCCAAAAGTTATACAAGGGGGTCACCCGGACAGTTTTTTCCGGGACAAAGCGTAAACTTCCGAACAGGTTTCTAGTACCTAGTACACTACCCTTGGCCTTGATCACCACCCCACCCTCCTAGCATGTTATCTACGAGGTTAGTAGAAACCGTTGCAGAGATCTTCTCGCACTCTTCCTGGACCCTCCCTTTGCATAAGGAGGTGAGCACTAGGAAAATTGCGAGGGATTTGAGTGTCTGCAAGTTTTTTGTCCACGATTTCTGTTTGAATGTTATGTGTAAGACTAGCCACACTGAGGTATGACCAAAGATGCCATTAGCCGATTAGTTCCATTTATGGGTCGTCTTCGTCGTACTGCTGTAGGGTAAAACCACGACAGAGTGGCAAAAAATAGTGTATGTGCCATGAAACTGAGGGTGACGTAGCACGGTTGATTATTCATCCTTGCACTATTAGAATCACGCTCTGCATGTCTCATCACGGTGTAGCATTCGAAGAAGTTGCGACTGTTGTGGAAGAATATCCAAGTTGAGGTCAGGTGAAGAAAAGGGCCACTCCAGTGCTACAAACTGATGCTCTCCAATTTTATTCCAAGCCTATGCAGTACAAATGGCTTGGAGAGCATTGGGGAGCATAAGTATGTTGCACTGGAGTGACCCTTTTCTTCACCAGACCTCTACCTGGATATTCTTCCCGAACAGTCGCAACTTCTTCGACTGCTGCACCGTGATGAGACATGCAGATCCTAGCGTGATTCTAATAGTGCAAGGATGAATAATCAACCGTGCTACGTCACCCTCAGTTTCATGGCATATACACTATTTTTTGCCGCTCTGTTCGTGGTTTTACCTACAGCAGTACGACGAAGACGAACCATGATAAGATGGAACTAATCGGCTAATGGCATCTTTGGTTATACCTCAGTGTGGCTAGTCTCATACATAACATTCAAACAGAAATCGTGCACAAAAAACTTGCAGACACTCAAATCCCTCGCGGTTTTCCCAGTGCTCACCCCCTTATGCAAAAGGGAGGGTCCAGGAAGAGTGCAAGAAGATCTCTGCAACGGTTTGCACTAACTCGTAGATAACATGCCTAGGAGGGTGTAGGTGTGTGATCAAGGCCAAGGGTCGGTGTACTAGGTACTAGAAACCTGTTCGGAAGTTTACGCTTTGTCCCGGGAAAAAACTGTCCAGATGACCCCCTTGTATAACTTTTGGCACTAACTTAGATGCAGTGTACTACTATGGACGTAAGTGCTGTGAACACATCCACTATGTGCCCCTCCAAAAGCGTACCACCATTAAACATTAAGACTTTATGTACCGTGGTCGAAAAGCCTAAAAAACCTAATTAATGCCAAACATCCTGACAGTTTTTTCCGTCACTGTACTTCCGAGGTAACCAGGTTTATCCTATCCAAAGGGGATAGACCCTTCTAAAAATAGAATCACTCTGCGTATAGCCACACGAGGCTATTGGCTTTAAGGGATAACGGCAGAAATAGGAAACCAAATGAGATGAGAGAAAAAAGGAATGAAATAGAAAGGAGATATAGAAAGGGAAATTGGTGTAAAGGGGTCGTACTCTTACAACGTGCGAGGGCAAGGTGACCTAGACGTTGGTGCCACAGAAGCGTCGAGTGAGTAAGCGACCGACACGAGCAAGCGCCAGCAACCTGGGTAGACGTAAACATCTGCGGAGACATCCCAATCGGGGGGGACGCGGTGTCCAGCGTGAACAGGCCAGACATCGGGTCCCGGGGGAACGTGGTGAGGGGAGCACCAGTGGCGGCCTAGGTACAAACAGCATACCGCTCGTGACTAGGGAACGTAGTGGTGACGCCAAGGTCCTGGAGGTAGCCGACACCAACTAGGTTCCTAGAGAACGAGGGGATGTGCAGGCCTGTAAGGGAGCCCGAAGGAACCGCCGAACAGGGAAGGGTGGTGGAGCTACGAGCAACTACAGGTTCTAAGGAAGGGTCTGCAAGGGCAACTGCGGTGGGAGCGGCAAGTGGCGTAAGCGTAGTGGACTCCTGAAAGAAACACCGGGAAGCGCCGGAGTCCAGGTGAAGGAGAGCGCGGCCGTGACGGCAGGGGACGGAGGAGCGAGGGTGGAGCCAAGGCTAAACAAAGCAAGGGATCCTACGCTTGACGCAGCAGGGGAGTCTGAACTGGGCACACTAGGCACACCTACACTAGGCAACATGGGGTAATAGGAACCGGTCACACTAGAGTAATCGACATACAACACATACAAAGCAGAGCTAATCTCATCCATGTCCAGATCAAAGATCCTAACACCATGGCGGAGCAGACTGTGCCAGTCCGGGAGGTCTGGCGCCGCCGAAGCGGAGACGAAACAGGTCGTCTAGGCGACTGAAACAACGAAT